AATCGGAAAGAGGTAAAAAATATGTTTTTTCAGAAGCATTGATAAAAGTTCGAAGTTAGGAAAATTATAATAAGAATTTGTCACAGCAAAATAATAAATAAATATACGTAACAATTTCATAAATCATTGATCATAAATTTATTACAACTCAATCTATGTATAAAGTGTTATGAATAAATTTTTGCAAAAATTTCTGCTTAATAAATTTGCTTCCTATTATGTTCTTGCAGGTATTTCCTTATTTTCAACGCCATGTAGACACCCGTTAGTGACATTCTTACGGAATGATACACGAGTGCGAAGACTATCTCCGGTCAAGCATGAATCTAATTCGTTAAAATGTTCGAGATTTATGTCTCTCACGTGACTTGTAAGACTAAAGTGGGGTTCTGACATAGCTTTTAGTTGTAGAATTTATCAATGTTCAATCCTAAATTATGCCATCGATGTAACGCGACGATGAAGCTTAAACCTGTTTATTGAGAGATATATCGCCTATTAGTGTCTACGCTTTTCTCTTAAGTCAATTATAAAATGTGTGCAACTAGTCAACATATCATGATTAATTTTCATAACACTTTATACATAGATTGAGTTGTAATAAATTTATGATCAATGATTTATGAAATTGTTACGTATATTTATTATTTTTTGCTGTGACAAATTCTTATTATAATTTTCCTAACTTCAAACTTTTATCAATGCTTCTGAAAAAACATATTTTTTTATACCTCTTTCCGATTTACTTCCGCCATATCAGCACGTAGCATTTAAAATTCAAATGATGAGGTACGCCATCTTGGAAGAGCTCTGTCATTTAAGTAATATTAATTTTTATTTTATTTTTATTCTTGCTAAAAACACTTCTTCAGGATCTTACAATGTTCCTCATTGACGGTCGCGCGATTACAGACTATGAAAATCGCATTTCTTGTGAGTTCTGTCTGCAGCGGTACTTGATTGCCTTTCGTTAAGAAACCTCACCGGAGCGAACTGACCTAGTAAAATTTGTAACGCGCGGAAAATAAAATATACGACTTACATATCCATCAAAACTTTATAGAATAATTGGCAAATTCTCTGTCTGTTTATTTCGACATAAATTTAATTTAATAGAAAATACCGAGTAGTCGTTTGGCTAATTGCATCGCAATACAAAACACAATTTTCTGCTATCAACTACTAACTACATCTTTTCGAATTCATTTTCATTACATAGGTATTGTTAATAATTTCCATTAAAAATGAAATTAAAAGTAATATACACCAATATCTTTTTAAAAATTGCAGTATTTTCTAAATGTCAATTTGATATATTGAGAACAATTGAATAATTTCCATTTCTTAAACAATTGTTTTGCCTTCAATAAGTCGAACGAATTTTTTACTTAAATGAGGCCATTTGTTCTCAGAGTTACAATAGGAAGTAGTTTTTTAAGTTTGCATATTAAGTTGGTGCAACTCGCGTGCGTAACAGAATTAAATTTGTATAGCTGTGGATAAATAATTTATTTTTTATCTATTATAAAAAATCGCAAGTTGAATTATATTTATTAAAAAAATTACGTGAAGAATAGGAGGTTTTCTGATATATTTAATATAATTTTTTTAAATTAATGTTCCTACACATTAGTAATATAAAAGACAACTTTAGACAATTTTAATCAATAATTCGTAAATTTGTAATAGAATTCTATTTATAATTTTATGTGTCGTATAATGCAGAAAACACATTGTGTATGAAGAAGTGAGAATACACATCATATAATATAAGATATATATCAGAATACATATACATTAAGGAAGAGATATGTGGAATGTAACATTATAAAAGTAATTTTATCTTTACTTTTATCTCGTGAATTATAGAATCATCTAAAGAATTGCTTAAAGTATATGTGTCAGCGTGACTAAACTACATAATTGAAATCTACCTGAAAAATAACGAAATCTTCAAAAATTCTCTCTTTTACCTTAAAATTATGATATAATTTCTAATTGTATTTTTTATATTTTGCTATTATCATCTATATAACGAGCTGCTTTATTGATTTATTTATTATAAATTTATTTATTTGTTTATTATAATTTAAATTAAATTCTGAAATAATTTTAAAAACAAATTTGTTACGTCCAATATTAACGCCTGGCTTTTTTTATTAGTCCTTTTCAGATATATTTAATTTTATATTTAATTTTTATTATCATCTTGCGTATTTGTGCAAATTTAAGATAATGGTATATAGGTATTTCAAACCCATTAAAATGTTCGTTGCTGCGAGAGAACCGTTTATTTCCGTTCCACATAACAACGAATTATGATACGTTGCGTGTCACGTTACGCCCAGCGTCGGCTCGTTAGTTCTTAATCTCATAAAAAATCACACCCTTCGATCTGTCATTATGTATTCATCCAAATTATGCCTATTAAGCGTCGCTGGAACAAATTCCACTTTTTTTGCGACGACGAAAGAAAGACTCGGTGTATTCCGTTTGGTTTGCGTTCCTTATTACGCGAGATAGCAGGCTCGGATTTAAAAGCCGACATTGGTATGTTCGCAAAACATATATAGAATCCCTATGTGCATCCTTTCGATTTGTGCTCTGCATCCTCGTCGCTGTCAGTGATAATTGCGGAAAGATAATGACTCTATGAAATTAGTCAGAAACTTGAGCGTTACGAACCGTAAAAGTATACGAAGGTAATTGTACTATAATAAGAGTTGAATAGATTCTAATATGTACAAATACAAATTAAGATACAGATTAATCTTGTCACAAAATATTTATTCTCTATTTAAATGGAATATTTGGATCCTTTAATTTTGGATTATTTTCAGTAAGTTGAGAAAAATTAAGATGATTAAGAAAAATTTGGGTGGTTTGGTATGTCTTGATCTAAAAGTCATTCCACACTAGATTGCAAATGGTTGTCAGTCGACAGTTGCAGATTGACTAATCGGAGCAAAGCAACTTGCTAATTGGTTAATCTGCAACTGTCCACCAAGACATTTGCAACTTATTGCAGAATAACCCATAATAATCTCAATAGCCAATACTATTTTGTATACTTATCATTGAAATCAGGATATACAAATCACCCAAATTTTTTTTAGTCAACCTGCTGAAGATGATCTAAAGTAAAGGGACCGACACATTCAATTTAAATAGAGAAATATTTTATGATAAGATTGTTGCTCCTAATTTCTCGGTTTTTATTAGCCTGTATCTATCTTGAATTTATTCTAGTAATAGCGTGTCTCAAATCGAAAGCGTTTGAACAAAGGCGAATCAAAGCTTGTAAGTGCTCGAGAAGCCAGGATCCTTTTTTGGATTATTTTCGAGATTGATTCATTTAAATTCAATTTAAATGAAGAAATATTTCATAACAAGATTGTTGCATCTAATTTCTATGCTCGACTTTTATTAGCCTGTATCTTGGAATTTATTCTAATAATATCGTGTCCCAAATCAAAAGCGTTTGAATGAAGTTGAATCAAAGTTTGTTTTCCGAGTGCTCGAGTTGCTCGAGAAGCCAGGATCATTTTTTCAGTAGGTTGATTAAGAAAAATTTGAGTAATTTGGTATGTCTTGATTTTAATGATTTCAGTAGTTGATACCGTTTTGTATAGAGTAGTGACACCACATATCGCCTATCCTAACTATATTTGATCCCTGTAACCACAAAAATAATCGAAAAAAAGTTCTGATAGAACCTAAAATGACAGATAGACATTACTTTATCTGTCACCAACTGAAAAATGTAAGCGTTTGCTAACTTAGTTCTTTTCGCAAATTTTGTAACAAAATGGAAAATGTCATTTTTTGAAACGCGTTCCTAATATGGCTTACTGTGAGTTTAATAACTGACATAGTGTTTTGAGTATACGTTTAATTGTAATACCATTATTCAATTCTCTGATTGATACTCTCTAACGTGGTACTCTTGGATTTGGGAAAAAACAAGCAATAATACAACTACACTATTTCCCATAAGCCCCTGTCACTAGGAAAGTGTCATTATCGTTATACAGCTATTTTAAAAAGAAATATTTAAAAAATAAGTACCGATGTTGTTCATAAAATAAGCTAATTATCCTACTTTACACACAATTCTGCCCACAGTTATCAGATATCAATATTAGTTTCGCTAAAACGGCGCTGGGCGATATTAGACAATATTTGGTGAAATATTCACCTTATCACCTTATTACTGAAATCAGGATACATAACCCAAACAACATCACGTCTATAAAAACGGGACATAAGATGCCTTAAAGATATCTTATTGACTTAAAGATATATTTTATTATGATGTCTAAAATACATCTCAATGACTCCTTTAAGACGTCTTATGTCCCGATTTTAGACGTTTTGTTGTCTGGGAAGTTACCCAAATGTTTCTTAGTCAATCTTCTGAAGATGATCCGAAGAAAAGGGACTAAGACAATCAACATTTAAATTGCAATTTAAACGGGGAAATATTTAATGACGATTTCATGAAGATCGTCGCATCTAATTTTTACGCTCGACTTCGATTAACCTGTATCTACTTCGAATTTATCCTAGTAATACCATGTCCCAAATCGAAAGCGTTTAGAACAAAGGCGAATCAAAGCTCGGCGATCCCTCCTGCGTATCCCGAGTGCTCGAGAAGCCGACAACCCACGGTGCACGTAGGTCGCGACTTGACCCACAGTCTGAAACTGGGAGTAGTAGTACAGTCCTCTTCTCGTCGGGCCGAGATCGCGAAGTGCACATGATGCACTGGCACGGCCGTAGCGCACCGGCCGAGAAAGAAGACGAAGAGGAAGGCAACTCGCGTTGGAGAGGCAACCGAGAGAGGCAATGGTGCACACACGTGCACCTCGGGGCATTCGCAGGTTGGCAGTCGGCTCTTGAAAGCCGCTCCGTGAATGCCTCTCTCGCGATTCTCTCTCATACACGCGCTATTTTTTTTATTTTTTTCATTTTTTATCGATCTCCTGGTGATCACCTAGAGTGAAGTTCCTAGTGTCCGCGAAGGAGTTTTGCGCCAAGGGAGGGCGATTTTTCATCGATATAATCTTCACGGTGGCCATAATGTACGGTGTGTTGAATGTTCACGCGAAGCTGTGGAACGAGCGAGAGAAGTGCAGGGCCGGTGCTAAGTGTGATTTTTTAGCAAATGCTAATCGCATAGATGGTCAGGAACTCGCTTTGTTTCGCCGCGTGCCGGTCGGTGATAAAATTGATGGCGCAAATGGGATGGATGGTTTCTACTGATCATTGCTGGGGACAGGAAAACAGAATGAGAGAGTTCGATTAAATTGTTTCGAGGGTATTGGAAGTTGTTCTTGTGTTGTTTAAATCTTCGAAGACAAGAGCATTGCTGCACATTTCAGTGTATTTACTGTTGCACGTGACATATCCTTGGTGTGAGTAAAAAATCTGTACTTAATTAACGTTTCAACAATGCTAAGATGTTGCAATGTCGAAATGTTAATCATAGAAATTTGTATATTCTAATTATACAACATACAAATATCAAAATAATACTCTTATTGTTTTAAGCAAAGTTGTATTAATTTATTGTTGCTTTATAATATTCATTATATTCAATCAAATTATAGACCTGGATTATATATAGATTTTGTGTATAATTACGATAAAATATTTTTTAGCACACAAAGAACAATATAAGATTATATAACAATGCAACATTTATTTATACATATATGTATATAATAATATAATTATATACATTATAATTATATGCATTATAATTATATAATTATTATATGTGTGTATGTATGTGCATACCTGTTACATTTAACCATGTATTATGTAAAAAAATATATCAAAAGTATACATAAAGAAGCAATATTATAACAGAAGTTTCTACAAAAATTTCTGTTAATTATTTTTGCATCAGTTTTTATGTTTAGGTAGATTATTAAAATTCAATAAAAGTTTAAAATAACATGTATATCTGCTAAAAATTGCTTTCACTTTTGATACTATTGTTTCAAACTTTCGAGAGTAAATAATCTTTTGAAAAGTTTTCATAATTTAAGATCTAAGAATTTAATGTTCTCAAAAAATAAGTGCACTCACTAAAAACTAGAACATAATAAAATTAATATGTAAAACATAGTAAAAATCTACAAACATAGTAAAAATAATATGTAAAAATAACTGCAAATTATTAAAATTTATGCAAGTTTATTGAGTTTTAATAAAATTATCTTTTTTCATTTATTTTTGGAAATAAACACGGTTAGTTTACGATTCTTTTCTAAAATAGGCCAAATTATAGTCGATAGAATTATCTGATAGAGATTAAAACACTTCCTTATATAAAACACTTTAAATAAAATATCCTTTCGCTTTATATTAACTTAATAATTAAATGATAAAACTAAAAAAAGGAGTCTAAACTTCGATAACGATGATATACATATATTGTCAAAATAACTTTTCAAAAATTTTAACTGTTGCTTATTTATAAAAAAAATTATTAAATAAAGTTGAACATGCAATACGTAAATTTTAAGGATTTTAAGTGAGATAATGAGTTTTTCTAAATTTGAATCTCTTACGCAATATAAAAATTAAATAATAATATATGTTTTTAACATATATTTTGTGTTAATTATAATGAAGTACATTATTTAAATTTTGTACATATTCAAAAAAAATTTTTAATCTAAAAAGAAACCTAATGACAAAATCAATAATTTAATCTACATTAAAAAACAAGCAAACTTTTGTGTAAAATATTTTTTCTTAAACCGTTTCTTTAAAAGTTACAAGTATTTCAATTTCAAAATTAGCTGACATAATTAAATTGACATAAATTAAAAAAATAAGTAAAACGCAAAATAACATTATGTAATTCAATTTCTTAAATTCTCAAAATATTGACTATTTACATGTTAATATTTGTTTATTCTAACAATAAGATTAACATTTCTAACTCGAAACATTTTGAGAGTTACTGCAGCACAGGCCTTGCATATTCATTATTTTTGTCTTTTGTTATTGGTTCTTTAAACATTAAATTTTTTTTCAATTTTTATATTTTTATTAAAAAAGTCGAGGGGTTTCAGATAAAAAAAACTGAATAAACTTTCCTTATCCATTATTCAAATTTTTTGTTTAATAATGTGCGCGTTAGTTTTGCAATAATATAAATGAAGTTCCATTCTGTTAAAACCACAGCATTTTAATGAAAACGGGACATAATTACAAGAATTTAATTAAACGAAAGAGAGCCGTAAGCTGACGAAATTTTTTCTTGCATGTATTATATATTATATTTATTTGTTAAATATAAAAACGAATTAAAAACAAGAAACTGTTTGTCGTTTTTTGCATTTAAAACAATTTTATTTTTAGAGTGTTTACATGTAAATAATTCAATAAATTGAATTACATAACATTATTTTTTGCGTTTGTTTTTATTTTCAATTAAATTCGATTTAATAAAATCATCTATCAAACATTTGTAATTTTTAAAGAGAATTTTTACGAGATTGAAACATATTTTTTTAGACAATTATTTGTTTTGTAAATTACAGAAATAATTAAATTTACATAGGTACCTATTCAAATTTTAAAATTTTTGCTTTATCTTCCAGGAAGGTTAAAGGAAGATTAATCTTTACTTTTATCTTTAAATTTAATAAAGGTCTCCGAGATCTATAAAATTCAATAATATAATTCGTAGATAATATAAAGATTGTTGTTTAATTTACATTAAAAAAACAAGCAAGCTTTTTTCTAAAAATATTTTTCTAATGTAAATTAAATGATTGATTTTCTGATATTAGGTATCTTTTTAAATTTTAAAATAGCTTTCTGCTTTACGCTTTGTAGATATTTTTATATTAAAATTAGTTGTGAGAAAATTTAAATACACAAATATACAAACAATTGACAGATATTTTCAACGAAGAATACCGTAATGAAATCAAAAATTTGCTCTAAAAAATTCGTAATGAAGATATATAGTAGCAAAAAAAGATACTTAAACATAGAATTATCGAAATAAAAAGATACAAAATTAGAAGAGAAAGTAGTAAAATAAATAAAACGAACGCTTTATAAATATAGATTTCTATTGGAAAATAAAACATTTTCACGTCAATATCGCGAGTATATAATTCATGGAGATTTTCCGTGGTGAGAGATGTTAATAAAATTCGGGTCATAAAAACGCACTTTAATTTCCTTTACCATACGAAGAAGTGGAACATGCGTGCATTCTATAAATGTTACTTTCAAATCGTTGCCTCGTAATTACAAGTGTGTAAACACAATCGCATAAGCAATGTTAATAATACATCTGCAGCGATATATGAACACACAATGCGCATTTATGATTTAACAATAGTCGTTCATGACAAGTAAACAATTGGAACAGGAAATGAAACCAGCCATATATTAGCGTAGAAGAAAAAGGAACGCCTTAAAAAATAAAATCTCAACAAGTATTCACGTATAAATAAATCAAAATATATATATATATATATATATATATATATATATATGTATTTATGCCGAGGTTTGGTAGAGCGAAAGAAAATAAAATATAGTACATGTATTTATTTTATTATATAACAAGAAAACAAAATCAGGTAGAAAAAAAGAAACGCAATAGAGAATTTACAAATCAAATCTTAATAAATATTTACGTATAAAATAAATATTTACTACACTGAAAAAATTATTAAAAATTAATAAATATTATTTTATAAATTTATTTGAAACAATTAAATATCTATGTGTTCTTACATCAAAGAAATAATTTTACACATCAAATTAATATTATTAGTTTCAAATAAATAATTTATGGAGTATTGATAAATATACAATACATTTTTTTCAGTGTATGAGATTTGTGTAGAGCGAGAAAATTTGAAAATAAAACGAGATGATGTATATGTATATATTTGAAAAATCGAAAAAATTCGATACTAAAGGAATGATAAAAATATGTAACAAATTGTAAAAATCTGCTTTCAGGATTCTCCATTCGAGACTGTTCCTATGCACATAAGCTATTACTTAAGCTGTTACACGACTCTGGCACGACCTAACCGAAGACCAAGGTCATGGCACACGAAAATCCCACGGCTTTCACGGTTAGTCATGCGATCGAACGTAATTCTTGCGCTACCTGGAACGCAGAAGAAATGTTTTCTGCAAGAACTACAGATCAAAACAAATTCTCGTCTACACCAGACAATTGAGAAAATTAAAAAGTTCTACAAAGTGTGTGAAATAGAAATTGGTGCGGAATGTATATAAATAATATAATTGATAATAGAAACATTACAAATTTATAGTGCATAAAAATGCGCGAAGAGGACTAGATAAAACTTGTTTTTAATTTATTTTTAATTTAATGCGGTGTATTTGTGCTACGTAAAGTGAGAGACTCGACGAGAAGAAATAATAACAATGGGAAATGCAAGATCGCAATCATGTCGACGAAACAAACCGCTCTACCTGTTCTATCTTATCAACCGAACCTGGAGCATCGTCGTAGATCGGAAGGATCAAGATCGATGCGACGAAACCGACCGAGAAACCGATCTCTCGTCGAAATGCAGTATCTGCAACGTTTACGATTACCAACGGAACAGCCTGATGTTCGACAGGTAACATGAAAGTTTTCAAACATTTTATTATTAGTATATAGTATATAGTATTAGTATATAATATTAGTAGTATATAGTGTTAATAGTATATAGTGTTAGTAATATATAATGTTAGTAGTATATAGTGTTAGTAGTATATAGTGTTAGTAGCATATAGTATTAGTACTATAATATAGTATTAGTAGTATATAGTATATGTAGTATATAGTATTAATAGCATATATAGTAATATATAGTATTAGTAGTATATAGCAATTAGTATATACATAGTATTAGTTAGTATATAGTATATTACTATATAGTATATAAATCAAGGTAAATATCTACACGTGACGATTTAGTAATAAGATGTGCGACTGCACCGACGAGATTATTATTTTAATTATCATTAAAAATAATTATGAAGAACAAACAACAAGTACCGCAATCCATAAGATTCAATGTATAAGATTTAGCGTTAAAATAATGTCGAAAAGTGTACATAATGCCACTTTTGTAACGTATGTACACATTAAGTGCAGTTTTCTAATCTGAAAACTGCACTTTCTTTATTTTCAAAATACATTCATGCAAATATTTAATTTGAACGACCCGCGTGTTGACGTTAAAATGGCGGATGATTGCGGTACTTAGTTCATCTAGTGACTTTACTCCATTTTGACTGAAGATAACGTAAGTATTTTAACTTATCCTGCGTCGCTGTTTCACCATCGAGAATGTTACCGATCTTTTATATAGCTTCAAATGATAATGCAACGAACAATTTATCTTATCAATGAATTACTATATTTTCCATTGACGAGATTATTATTTATTAAAAACGGTCAACCATAAATAAATTTTCGTGACTGTCAAGTGAATTTAATCTACACGGAAGTAATTAAAAATTACTGATATAATATAATTTTGATTGTATTGAAGACAATACATTAATTATTTTAATCATTACATAAATCATAAATATATTTTAATTTATCCAATTATTATTTTAACATATAAAAAATGAACAAATTACAATTTTACAACTGTAATTACAACTGTTGCCTCATTTTACATTTATTATAAGATTAAAATATATAGTACTTGATTATTATTGATTCAATAATATAATCAACATTTGAAAAAGTATATGTATGTATGCACATACATACAAAAATAAAATGTGTAAACACTTTTTAATCTAAATATAATATTTATTATACTTATGATAATTTGGATATCTCTAATCTTAAATTATTGGAATTTGAATTATTCGGAATTTTGAATTATTTCTAACGTTTTTTAATAAATGATATTAAAATAAGTAATATTTTTATTTTAAATTTTGCTATATTTGATAATAAATTCATTTTTAAAGAACATTTTGACACGTATTTTACAACAAGAATTGTTTGCATTTGTTAAGTTTTAATTTCAATTAAACGTTCTTTTAGTGTTTAAAATATAAGAAAAAAATTAAGTGCATTTTTATTATTAATAATATTTCTTTCTGAAAAAGAAAAAAATATTTAAACTGTCAAAAAGATATCCATGTTTTGTAACACAAAAAACTGAACTTATTTTCACAAAACTGAACTTATTATTTTGAAAAGAGAAAAAGGCAATGTATGGAAAATGTTTTAGTGCTCGTAAAAATCTTCATAAATTATAAAGACACACATTTTCTCTACGCGTTTCCAGTGAAGTAAAACGTACTATGGATAAACTTGATATTATTATTCTAACTGCTGATTTTTGTCGCACCTGTATCCGAAAGGAAACTACCCGTAGAAACCGTTTGATCTTGCCAAGCGTTTCACCTAGATCAATAATTCTAGTTTCAGTAATGCATGATATTACGTGGGAATTCCTAATAAATCTAATACAATAAATTTGCAATCTTATAATTTTCAAATAATATTTATATTTTAACTTTTACTTCAATTCAACATTCCATTTTGATAGATATTATTTTATCTTCGTTAGAAAATAAAATATACATATATTTAGAATATCATATTATTTCTATAAATTTAATATTTTATTAAAAAATAATTTAGAGAGGGATTTTTTATATAAAAATCGGCCTTTCTGAAAATTTGACTTTTCATGAAAGAGCTAATTTGACAAAAAATCTGGATAGAAAATTGAATAAGAAACAAATTTTTGAATTTAAATATGTTTAGAATATCATATTATTTCTATAAATTTAATATTTTATTAAGATCTAGAGAGAGATTTTTTATAAAAATTGGCCTTTCTGAAAATTTTATTTTTCATGAAAGAGCTAATTTGAGAAAAAAATCTGGATAGAAAATTGAATTAGAAACAAATATTTGCAAAACTTTTTATTCAAGTAACATCATTCTAATATATCATTAGATTTAAATCAATTTAGCTTTTAATTATTTCTTATTTCATTCAATATAGTCCTTAATTTACTGAAATATAATTAATACTTATATTTTGCGCACGCAAGTCGATTATAAAATTAATGATAACCAATTCCACCCAGTTAATTATTTCAATCTCACGATGAGCCATTATTTGCATTTGATTATAGAAGAGAGACTTCTGATAGCATAATATATTTATAATTAAATATTGATTAAGTATTGATTATATTGAAAGTCCATTGTGTGAATATTTATACAAAGTGTCCAATAAAATAATCATTTAATTCATCGCGTAAATATGGATTAAATGATTATTTTATTGCGGATTAAGCCGAGCAAGAAAGTCCCCTATCGTTTTGCGATCTTTTTTAATTAATTTCTCTCTCCTTAATTATTAGGAAGATTGCAAAACAAACTTTCCTATTCGATTTAATTCGTTATCCGAGAATATTTTACAATTTTCTCTTATGATGAAACATCACATTTTTATATAAAGTTTTATAAATAAAATTTTATATTTCTTTATTTAAAAAAATCAATTAATATTAAGCAAAAAAATACCTATATATTTTTTTTGTCAAGTGACAATATTACAATTCTATCACACACAATTAATCGCATTAACTTTGACATATATTGTATGTGACATATCGATTTTGTCTTGATTCTTGATTTACAAGCATCATGTTTCGTAGAAACCGATGCGCTTATTTTGCATTTATTGATAGGGTGTTAAAAATTAGATCGACAAATTTTAAAGGAAAATTAAAGACTTCAAAATAAACATTTTTTTATTAATACTATTTTTTTCTATGACGTTTTTAGTTTTATACTACATAGTATACAAACATATAAGTGGAAAAATTAAATTGTTTCAATCTTGAATAAAATGGAAGAAATAAATAAAGGAAACTCACTCTTTTTACACTGAAAAAATTTGTTAACTTGACTAAATCTTTCAACTAAACATTATTTTGTTATTTGAATATATAAAAATATTTAAATTAAATATAATATATTAAATCTAACAAAACGTAACTATATTTGACTTAAATACTAACATATGTGTAATTAACAAAATAGTAATTTAATTAAAAGGTTTAGTCAAGTTAATAAATGTTTTTCAGTATACAATAAAAATGCTCCAAAATTCCTCCATTAACTTCAATGCAAAGTTGACAAACCAAAAAATCACAAATATATGTCTCATATCATGTATAGTATTAAAAATAAACGTTGTAGAAAAAATTAGTATTAACAAAAAATGTTGATTTTGAGATCTTCTTTGCTTCTTCAAAATTTGCCGATCTAATTTTTTAACACCCTGTACATACAGACAAGAAACGGTAGATTATCGATCATAAGCATCCCGATACGTGCATATACATACATGCAGGGTTGGATAATAACTAGTTAAATTAGTTAAAAGTTTTAAAAAAGTTAAAAAGTTAATAACTTTTAACTTAGCTTAGTTAATTTAAAATGTCTTAATTTTTAACTTTAACTAGTGATTTTTGACCTTAAACTTATTAATTATTTCCTAACAATAAATTAAATTTTTTATCTCTGAATATACCATTATTGTTTTTTTATAAGTTATAAACGTATTCTGAATTTTTATGTTCAATTGTCATCAATTGTAATGATCAAAAAATATATTTCTATATAAAAATCAAAATTTCTTTGTTATAAATTTTAAAAGAATTAACAAACAAAATTCTAATTTATTATAAACAATATGTTTTTAGAAAATTAACTTTTGATTTAACTTCAGTTAATTTAATCTTTAACCGAGTTAATTTTTCGTTCGTGCAACTGAATTAATTTTCTAAGCAACTAACTTGGTTGCAAAAAATCATGAGCTTCCCCAACCCTGCATGCATGCATTTTGTCCCTTCCGTCGTGCGTGTGAGGTGTCTCTTGCGGGGCATAAACTCACGATAAACTCTACTTACGTTACGAGCAGGTGATGGCGCCTCATTACGCCGCTCGGCGCTGCAACGCGCCGGTCGCGATCGCGTCGTCGAGTCGTCGAGTACGTCAGTGAGCCTCCGGCCGTTCCGCGGAACGGAGCGCAGAGACCCGACGTGTGACGAGAATCTTTTTTTCCCCGATTTGTAATCGCGACATGTCGATCGTTTCGACAAGTTTCGCGATCAACGCGGTGGATCGTGGTTAAAATCGGCAGCTTTTTCTCCGTGCGTTCGCGACAGAGCGTCTGACGTTAAACACCTTCGATTAATCGATCTAGGTAACGTAACTTTTTTACGTATAATTATTTAACCCTTTTGTCGATAATAATTTTTTTACGCTGAAACAAAATTATTAAATTAATAAATATTTATTTCAATACTACCTAATAAATCATTGATTTGAAATAAATATTATATCTGTGTTTTGAAAGAGATTTTCTTATATCAAATAAATGATTTATTTGGCAGTATTGAAATAAATATTTATTCGAATTCAATAAATTTTTTTTCAATGCACCAACTGCGTGTTTTCGACACATTTCGCTCTCTATGACAGGTTTTTTATTTTTTTTTTGAACAGTCTTTCTCGGTATATTTTTTACATAAAATACACAAAGGTTTTTAGGATTTTATTCTGGCTGAGGAAAATTTT